TTTTCCCTGTCCCCAGCAAGCTTTGGGCTGGTTTGGCCAGAGCCATCATGCCTTTCAGTAAGTCTGTGTAGCAGCTGTCACAATCAGCTGGTTTCAAGTGAATAAAACTTAGTGTTGCTAAAACAGAAGCAACAAAAATACTGTTTTGGCTGCTGCTGAGGTTGAACAGCATAATGGCTTTGGTGATAGGAGAATTGACCTTTAATGAGAGAAGTCAATTATGTTGAGGGATGGATGAGCTCCAAAAGGGAAAATAATGTCATATATCTCTAGTAAATAAACAGGCTGTATGGGAAGTATCTTTTATATTTTCAGTTAAAATGGCTAGCAAAAGATAAAGGGGGAGCAGATCACTTCAGAGAGAGTGTGTCTGAAACCAGTAAATACTGATGTGTTTTCTGATGCTTAATCAACCCAGTGTAGAGCAGTACCTCTGGTAATAAAATATGTGTGTTTATTTAGTACGTGGAAATTCCTTCTTGGTTCATACGTGGAGGCAGCCCACATGACTTTAGGGTTGCCACATGTCCATGTTGGGTTTTGTAAGCATTTTTATTTTTTTCCCCTTAAGTGGTGCACTCTGTAGAGCTGTTTGCTGCATATCCAGTGTCAGTGTGCCCAACACTGCCTGGTGTGGTTAGCCTGCCCAGAACCAGCCTCCTTTGCTCTTGCAGCCTTTGGCTGTGTTCTGAACAAAGCATCTGCAGACAACTTGAGGTGCTGTCTGACTTGATTGAAGGTAGCTCCAATTGTCATGTGGTCAGGAGAAGCACATCAGCTGTACGTTACTTCTGTGCATGAAGCTGATAGCAGACCCCAGCAGAACCCCCAGGTTCTTCCTCCCTCCTTCCCCTCTGTACCCTTTGAGCCTTGTGCTAGTTGGCATTTTTTCCCCTGGGAATGGTAAATGGCTTTGCTTTCAGCTGCAGCTTTGATTTGGAAGTTAAGGTATCCTTCTATAAAAGCACAGCACTTGCACTTGTTTCTCAATAGTTTGTCTTGTTGAAACCTAATGGCTTTGAGGGCAGAGGCTGTCTGACATCATCTGCTGGCTCTTGAGGGCATGAGCTGCTGGTGCACGGGAGCCCTTAACCTTCAGCTTGGATACTTAAAAAGTATTTGAAAGCTTTAGCAAACCAAGAAGGTGAGGCAAGGGAGTGGAAGAAAACACTGCGAGTTAGAATGCACATTTTGAGGTTTCTGACACCCCCTTTCCACAGGTCTGTGCTTTAGGCAAAGACTGATTCTGTTTCCTGCAGCAGAACATATCTTTATAAGCTGTCTCTAAATGAACCTTCTGTCTTATCCAGGAGATATTTGTGACCAGCTATTAAAATTTGCAGTCTCAGATGTGCAGCTAGAAAAGAGGCAAAGGCAGTTTGCTGAAAACTCTGCCTTTTATTGTGAAGATGTCCATAATAATGGGTCAAAAGAGGGGTGAAAAAAAACAACAAACCACTCGATTTACTTCTTCAGTATGGAATTTCACAGAGAACTGTAACTTTATTTTTAAATAAAGGAAAGTAGGATGTACAGGGAACACAACTCAATAGGAAATCTGAAACCTGTACCTGCTGTTGTGTGTGCCTCCCTGCAAATGTTGAGTTAAAAGTAGAAGACAGTTTTTAGTACTTGAGATGTCTTCAAGTAGACTTTACTCAGCAAAGCTTTGGTCACCATTGAGGTAGGTAGGCAATGGGATCTGTTCCATGAAACAGAAATTATCCCTTAAATTTTTTGCCTTGTTTTTTCCCTGGGATTTTTCTCTTATATTGCACATTTTGCCTTAAGGGTAACAGCTGCATAAACACTGTCTTTCAATATTTATTCAGTATCTTGATAGTTAAGCTGTTCCAATATATCTTAGGGATTTTCATTCTAATTCTGTGCCTTCAGACTTTTCTTTCTCTGACTTTGTACCCTCTGTGGTAACATTAGTAAAAAGCTTTCAGTTTTGGTGGGTCTTTTTATTAAAAGAAAAGTAATTGGAATAATTAGAGCTTAGTTTTTCTTGACTTTTTCTTCTAGATTATCCCAATGGCATTCGGCTCACGTCAGCTGTTCCAGGAGCAGATATCAAAGTGCTAATAAATTTCAATGCACCAAATCCTCAGGACAGGAAGAAGTTTACAGATGATTTGAGGGAATCAATTGCAGAGGTTCAAGAAATGGAAAAGCACAGAATAGAGTGTAAGTACAAAGGTACATATAATAGAGCATTTTCAAGCTAATCAAAATAAGAAAATTCTGAGTATGCATTTAACCTATTACAACTCCATAAAAGTTCAAAATAATGTGGGCTTTTTTCCATGATTTTGACTTGACAAGGAGGAAAACCCCAATGATATCTTCAGCCCCAGCTGAGTTCATTGACTCCTGTTTATTGCAGTGTAACTGCAGTGGAAGTTTAGCAAATAGCAATGGATAGGGGAGAGATGATTTGTGATTTGTAGGATAAATTACAGTAAGAATTGTAGGGATAATTTGCATCACACTGAAATTCTCAGTGATAGTCCTTCAGATAAGTTTCATGGGATTTTTCTTCACTTCCATGTTGCTATTCCTGTATTCTCTCAATGAGGAAGTCACAGTGCAAATTGATATATTTTGCTGGAAGTTCCACAAGTGTCTAATTACAAATTGTTATATTTTGCTGAAAGTTCCATGGGTGTTTAAACATGCAGTTGTATCTCCTGCTCTTCCAAAAGAGGTCCCATGTGTTGTACCACAGAGCTGTTAGCAGGGGGTGAAGCTCCTCTCTGGCCTTCAGCAGTGCCAAACCAACTCCTGTCTGTTACTCACAGCAACTGCTGATCACACACAGCGATTGGGCTGTCACCAATTCCCTTGGAGTAGTCAGTAGAAGTGAATAGCAAAGTTCCTGTCTTTGTTTCAGCTGAACTAGAGAAGCAGAAGGGAGTGGTGCGTCCGAGCATGTCCCAGTGCTCCAGCCTGAAGAAGGACTCTGGGAATGGGACGCTGAACAGAGCTTGCCTGGATGACAGCTATGCCAGTGGGGAGGGGCTGAAGCGCAGTGCGCTGAGCAGCTCGCTCAGAGACCTGTCTGAAGCAGGTAAGCACTGCCTCTCCTCCCTTGCTCTGTGCATGCAAACATGCCTCGATGATGCCCAGAAAGCCCAGCTCACACTGGGCCTCCAGAAACAGTAATACTGCCATTTCCAGCCTTTTCAACAGCTCCTCTTTCACAGTTCATGTTTAATTTCTGTTTGTTTTTTTACCCTTGTTCTATTAAGCAACCACTGTTTGAAAGCATTTAAGCTGTTGTAGATTTGCTATATATACTTTTAAAGGAGAGTGAAGACAGAGGACAAATTGTAAGTTTTTAATTTATAAAAAAAGATTGACCTGTGCTAGGAGTAACTCACTTAGTTTTCCTTTCTTTTTTTCATCCCCTTTGCTTCTTCCCCTTCATTCATTAGGCTTAGAAAGAAAAGGAAGGGAGCTGGTCTCTGTGCAATGAGCGCTGTCTGTGTATTGTGTGCTCAAGTGTACCTGTGTCACCACCTTGATGAATGAAATTGAGTGAAGCCCTCCTAAATTCTGTCTAGAGCTATGTATTCAGCTGCAGTTGTCCCTGACACTTTTGTTGTTTTGTAACTCAGATATAGTTCTAATTCTTGCAAAAGAAGTTGTTGTGAAATACTCTTGACAATGCAATAAAAGAAGCCCTAGTGGACAAGAATACTGATATCCCACAAAGCCACTGATGTGTCTTAAGTTTAATTCACCGATTAATGCAGCTAAAGACTGAAAAGCAGTGGTGGTGTGATTTTTTAGCCCAAGAAAGCCAGGAGAAGTTTGGCAGGTTTTTATTTGATGATTTGCCTCACCCCTGGCATACCCATGTAATCTCAGTGTTCAGCATGATTCCTGGCTCTTACATGAACTCATACCTGAACACCGTGTCCACTATTCAGAAAGTAGCAACTAGATATTTTTAATTATTCGTTTTTTAGTTCATAGTCTGTTACATACTCTGATTTGTTCTTTTAGTTGCAGTGATGATGTGCAGTAGAGTCATAATTTCAATATTCTGTATATCTTTGGTAGTAGACACTGCTTGCCTTTTACCTTTTTTAACTAAAGAAGAGATTCTAGCTATGCTGCAATAGATAAAATTGTTGTAAACTGAAATTCTAGCCTGTGTTTTGTGAGTATATGTATGTGCCTACAAGTATGTAGAGAGTGAGCTCTTTCAATTCTTTTATTCTCTGTCTAGGCTTTCATACTTATATGTCCATTTGCTTCATTAAAAAGACTTGGGACCTTGATCCAAAATCCGGCTGAAGTTGAATATTGGTGCTCGATTGGCTCCAGTGGATTTTAGATCAAACCCTTAGTCTTCACCCTTCTTATATCTCAGATTTGAGGATACTTCATCATCCCTTTCTGTGGTTTTGGTTTTCTCTCATTAGAATGAGAACTACCATATTGTCAATATGTGAGTTCAGTGGGTATCTGTACCCCTCAATGTGACTTCCAATTAAGTTTTTCATCCCATCAGAATTATTCATCCTTCTCTTTCAAACACTGCCATGTAGTTAAACTCATGTTATGGATTTTATTCACTAAACAAGCATTCGTAGCCATGAGCACATTTCACCTTCCAACAGGGCATGCCTGTGACTGGCATGCTTACTACTGAAAAGAACTTTTTTCCATGATAAAAAGTAGAAATCACTCACAGACTGCAGGGTTTATCAATGAGTTTGTTAAACCCAACTAAACTTAATTTTAACTTGAAATAGCTGAGAATTATGGAGAGTTTCTGTTTGGTCTTGTGCAGTGCAACTGACTTGAGAAATGACATGCCTGGTATTTGCTTTATTATTTGCTGTAGTAACTTCAGTGAGATGATACATGTCTGTTCTGCCTTTGCTCAGGGAATAGCTTGCATGTGAGGCTAATTTTAATTAATTTCAATGTGGGAGAGATGGCCATAGTAAAACAAAGAAATCTCAGAGTTAGGAAGATCCTGCCCCCAGCAATGATACTATATGAAATTGCTTCTATAAAAGAGCACTAAGTTAGGTTGCCTCAGTTCTTTTTGTAAATGAAACACAGGATCAACTAGGAGGAGGAACAAGAGCAGTGGGGCTGTGTGGTCCTGTGCCCTTCTGTGCAGAAAGGCACCAGGAATGTGGATTTTTCGAGAGGTCCTTTCTACATTAAATCAGAAATAAACATGAGAAAATAGCCTGGTTGCATATTTATGCAGTAAAGCAGATAACTGTCCAATGAACATTGCAAAGACAAGTTTTTAACTATTTATTCAAGGTAGGGGAAGTCTGATTGAACAGCATTTTGGTTGCTTGGAAAACAGTCCATCCCTGTCCCCCAGATACCAGTAGTGAGTGGTGGCTGTGGAAAGTGACTGAAATCTCTCTCTTGGAAAACAGTCATGATTCATAAGCTGCTTAGATCTACTGAATGCTGATACCCTGAATGATTCTGACTCCTAAGCTGAAAACCCTATGGAAAGGCAAGATGTCTCTGTCAGGAAGCACTGTCAGGAATCCTTTCCTGATGGTTGTTCTTCTGTGTGTTTGTCACAACAGTTTAACTCTCAGTTGTGAAAAGGATGTGTGTGAGGGTCTCTTACTTGTCAGTGTGGACTGACAGTTCTTTCTGTAGAGTACAAAGCAGAATGTTGCAACCAACTGTCCCAGAATGTGAATATGTCAAAAATATTTAGTGGGTTTTTTCCTCTAAAGAAAAATGTATCATTTTTATAACACATCCTTGAGCTATAGTCAAGGAAGAGCTGAATTTATTTGGCCCAGACTTTGAAATTCTTAATTCACATAAATGTATTAGAAGACAGATAAATTTTACTGCAGCTAAAGCTGAGTCTTATGAGTTCTGATAGTTTTGGACATTTCACCACTTGCTCCATATACAACTACATGATGAATAGGTCTACAGAAAGATGTGAAAGGTGTGATTTCCCATCGTGGCCATTAGCCCATGGGAAGAATGATTTGGTTGCCAAAGCACAGCAGAGAGGATTAGAGTAGTTGTGCTGCTGACCTGGCTGTCTCCCAGGTTTCTGGACTGATTTTAGGCTAGTCAGTCTGAATTCCAGCCACTTTGAGGTGCTGGAGGACACACTGCATTCACATTGGGTTTCAAGTGGTGAGCACCTGTGGAAATCAAACTTTATTTCCCCCATCCCTTCCCTGCAAGGTGAAAATCATATTTACACACTGCACTGGTTTAAAAATCCCAATTCTTGGTATGCCCCAGTAACACAGAGCTGATATCCCCATGTCATGCTGCAGCCTGACCAAGTGCAGGGTGCTAGAATGGTCCCTATTAGTGTGAGCTGGGCTTGCCTCAAAGCAATCACAGACCAATAGACTACTTATAAACCAAACCAAACCAAAAACATAGCGGAGTTCCAGAGTTTAAATCATTCTGTTTGTATATTGCATATAACTCAGTCAGCCTTTACCTTTTTCAGTGTTTATTAATACCTTCCAAAAAAACCCTTTTTTAAAAACAATTCATAATGTATATATTTAAATTTCCTATATTCCAAAATGTAATGGAAAAAGCTGTGGAACTTCTCAGCATTGTAATCCCCTTAAAAAGACTCTGAGTTCATGGAATTACAGAACCCCTTAATCCGTTGAAGCAATCTGTGCTGGGATGGTGCAGTCCCTTGGCTCCTCTCTCATCCCAGGCAGGCAGGGTTACTGGGTCATTCCCTCCTTCCTCTCCCATGGATTTTGCTGCACAGAGGTTGCTAGCAGGCTTTAACTCTCTTATTAGAAGAGCTTTCCAAGCAGGGAGGGATTTTTCCTGTCTCTTCCCTTGTCACTGCTGCAATATTTCCTATTCTCCAATGGAATAGCAATAGTAAGGGACATGGTAGAATTTATTGGGGAATTAAAATACAACAGATATGTATCAGTCAAGTCCTTGGTGTTATGGTGATCATTACCACCAAGTGATGGTTTGGTATGATAATACCAAACCCTTCCATCAGCCACCACACCCTGGACATAAACACCTTTCTGTCACCAGTTTTTCTGCCTTATGGAAGAGACACTTTGCTTTGCCCGTGGAGGAGCAGTTTGGCAAGGCCAGGTGTGGTCATCCTGTTTCCCCATCTCCTGGGCTCCACGGAGAGCAACCTGAACATGCCAAGAAACTATTTGCACAGTCAGTGTGTGATCTTAAGACTGTACCTGTTTCACACAGAAAACAAGGTGAAAAGATGAAGGTTGCAGAGTCTTTGCCCCCTGAAAGTGGTCTACCTAAATGAATGACTTAATTAAACATTAAGTAATTAAAATTAATTTAAAACTCTTTTCCCCAAACCACACAAAGCCAGACCATAATATATTGTTTAGCTAGCAATATATGTCACTGCCACAGCAGTTTCAAGAAGTATAGGCAGCAGTGAGAAGTATTTCCATTTGCTGTAATAACCTGCAGGCTGCAATCCTGCACACATCCATTCCACGAGTCAGAATTGGTTTTGTTAGGGAAACTCTGAATTGTCTTTTGGAATGTTTAAGTTTGTAAAAATACTTTAATTACTTGAGATTTCTACTGTAAATTGGAAATGTTCTTAGCCCCATTAATGCCTGTACATATATGAGACATATTATACTTACATAAGCTCAAGATATGTCTTACAAGTAATATTCATATCTAACATCAGTGAATTGTTGGAGTGAAATCAGAAAAGCTTAAACTAATTGAAATTTAATTTTATAAAAACAGTTTAAAAACCTCTCTAAGTAACAACCTTAAGAATTACAACTAGTTGCATGTTAAGCAAAACTAGTCCTCAGATGTGATAAATACCACCTTGCTTTATACCACAGCTGCTAACTATTCTACCAGTACACGCTTAGATGCAACTCTAGTCAAGAGTCATCATTTTCTTGAAACATGTGTGAAGGCTGCAAGTCTAGGGAAGTATTTTTGAGATGGGATGGCATGCCAAAGACCAGGGAACAGTCTGAAATCAACACACATCAGCAGGGGAATGCTCTGGGGCCTTTACTTAATAGCTTTCATATCACACTGTATGTCAATCCAGAGTTGGGTTCAGTTTGTTTTTAAGAAAATCACCAAAGCCTCTGCACAGCGATAGTGCCTATCTCAGGGAAATTACAGACATTTTAAGTAGGATTTTTCTGTTTGTTCTTGGCTTTGCTAGTGCTACTTTGCCCTGAAGTTATTCTAAGCAAAAATCCATCTGTCTCTCTCTGTCCGTATATAATGTGTTCATGGTTGTTTTGTTAGACTGTGACTCCTGCCATTTGCAAAAGGCATTAGATTTTGCTGTTTTCCTTCAGTTTTGGCCACATTTAATGATCTCTGTCAGCTCTCAGTCTTGTTTGCAATACTGACTGCTAAGTTACAAGGTGACTGTCTTTCTCAGTGTGTTTGCATCAGCAGAGAGTGATTTGAGTGCTAATCAGTACTAAACCCGTTAGCAGAGCAGAAAAATATCAAAGCCTGACTAGGAGTAATAATAAGGGATTATCAAACCCAGTTTTTCATGATGAGTTCATAAGATAGTACAGATATGGTTTGGGTCAGGCTAAAACTGCAGCAGGAGATAAAGCTATTGACAAAGAGCCTTTCTAGGGAATTGGTCTGAATTCCAACAAATCTAACGAGTCAAACAGAACACCTTGGCCACAAACGCCTTCCCCTCAGTTCAGTGTCACTATAGAGGAGTTTGTACTGGGGAGCAACTCTCCGTGATAATGAGAGAGGGGGAATTGTTCCAGTAGCCTAATGAGAACTGTAGTTCCTAAGAGAAACTGGAGTTTCAGGGCAGCATCCTGTGTCCAACCAGGTCAAAGTTATGCTTATGGATCCAAGAAGTGGCATTGTTTGGTCATACTTATAACCTTATGAGTAGTCTAAATTGGTCTATGAAAGGGTCTGTCAAGAAAGGTGAACCTCCCAGAAATTACTGTTCTGACCCACTTACAGACCAGTCCCAAGGTCCTCTTCAGCTCTGATCCCAGGTGGCTTTGGGGTGTCTGTGATGAGACTATGTCACTCTGTGGTGCAGTGGTGCTGAAATCTTCTCATTCTCCCCCAAAACTACCTCTTAGAGTAGAAGACTCTGAAGGCAACAACGTACCAATGCAGGGTGGAGATTGATATTCGGCCTTGCAGGAAAGCAAGGAGAAAGCATTGAGAAAACTTCAGTTTCTAAAACCATGTGGATTTTTGGGAAGCTTTGAGAAATGGGGCACTCTTCAAAGGTTAGCTTTGTTTATACACCCTGCCAGTGAAGGGTTCTGAGTCCTTGCAAAGCAATGCTCAGCAAGCTATGTTCAAAAACTCTCTATTTCCACTGCAGCCATATGCTATTTTCTCCCCTGTGAAATGGGAAAGAAAATCTGGGATCCTGTGTCCTATATATAGCCACTGAGGTCTTCTGGCTCTTTAGGCAAACAGTCTGGTGTTTCATGTGTGGTTTTAGGCAAATGTCTTTGCAATTTGAGACTGTTGGAGAACAAATCCAACATGCTTAAAGATAAAGCACTGCACAGCTAAACAAACAAAATCTAGCCATAATGTCGCAACAGATTCCAGATTTATTGATCAAAAATTAAGTTTAGTTTTTATAAAACCTCATGAAAGAAGATTAAATGAAATCCACTGAGGTTCAAAGCTGAAACTGAAATGATGAAACCGATGCCCCTCACCAGTGCCCCATACCGAAGTTCAGAACATTTCAGAATTAAATTTTATATTTGAATTAATACCACCCCACAAGTACCTATCAGTGCTACCACTGTTTGAAGAAAGAGACGTCATAGGCGATTAGACTCCAGGAAAACAGTTTCAAATCCTTGCTGGTCAACATCATAACCACAGCACAACATACAGAGGCTAAAACACATGTATTTTGAGTTGTGCACATTCCAAAAAAAATCACACCCCGCTCGTGCTAGTTGGTTCACAACAACAATACAGCTTCAAAATGAGTCAGGTACAGAAACTTACTGTAAGAAACGGCCTTAGAGCTCTAAGTTTCTGCCTCGTAGCTGCTGTGCCCGCGGCGCGGTGTCCCCCGCAGCCCCTAGTGCGGTTAGAGCTCCCGTAGCGGCGCAGGGCGAGCGGCGGTTCTTCATGGCTCTTGTCTCAGTCTCTAATCTCTGGTGTTGCATGTCCTGGGCAGGCAAGCGTGGGCGACGCAGCAGTGCAGGATCGCTAGACAGCAATATGGAAGTAAGTAGGAAGTTACTGATGTCTAGCTGGATGTGATGATGTGCATTTCAAACCTTTCTTTTATATACATATTTTTTTGCTCTTTTTTCTTCTAACATATAACCTGCCTGCCACAAATAAAATGCATGCCTAGGCTACTCACTCCGTATTCTTCCAGCTTAAAAAGCACTGACAGCTTGTTTTAGACCAATGCCATTTTTGGTTTGAGCTAACCTTGTTCCCTTTGTTCCTGCAAGCATGGTTAAATGAATATGATGTGTCCTTTTGCCACCATTTCAGTCTGGTCCCAGCTTAAAAGCCCACTTGCTCTTTGTTACCAAGTACACTGTTCTTGCTGTTTGATATTTAGCTACAACTATTGACTGTCATGCTCAACCATTCCCATTGCTTATTTTCAAGTTCAATTGCTCAATGTATGCAGTCATGACACCATGGAATTGCACAGACAGGGCATGGGAGGAAAAAATTATTAAGACAGGTGAATTCAATGTGGATTTCATGAGATTTCATTCATCTTCAAACCATTTATATATACTGTTCATGTCTCTGAATTCAGCTTGCAGATTTTTTCTTTTTTTTTATTTTCTCTTTTCTTTTTTTTTTGTGTTTGCTTTAGGTAGATTGCAGTTTAAATCTAGCACACTTTGCCTAAGTACTGTTGTGTCCCATAACTCTTTAAAAATACAAACCCCAAACTTCCAGAAACCAAATTCCAGGCTAAATAATAGACAGTGTTGGACCATAGGTCAGAATAACACAGTCCCACAGAAATCTTAGTGGCAAAAATGGTATGGTTCCATTTAACACATAGTGCAGAGGTAGGCCTGAGAAGCAGCACTGTGACATATAGTAGTGGAAAACTACTATCAAAAAAGCTTTAAATACTGTTTTGAAATCAGAACTATAACTGTAATATTTGCTGCTGTATGTTTAACTATTTAGGTGGAATGTAGTGATATTTTTTGGTTGTAAAAAAGCAAGCATGGTATTTTTTTACAGTATTTTAAAATGTATTTTTCCCATTAAAAACACACTCCTAGGTCTTATGTCATGTTACTCTTCCTAATTTTTTTAATTTTAAGTCCTTTCTTTCAATATCAAAGTACAGAGAGAAAAGCAGTTAATGCTTACCATACCCCACGAGGGGCACGAGTGCCTCGTTGGCAACTTAGGGAAGGTGGAAATCAAATTTCTCCTAGAACTCTTAACGTAGTCCACCCATGTGAACACTGAAGGAGGAGTTTGTGGGTCAGTGTGAACTTTTTTCTTTTAAACATTTTAAGATTTTTTTAATTTTTATTTCTATTAATTTCTTTTTAGGGGTCCATCATTAGCAGTCCTCACATGCGCCGAAGAGCTACATCAACCCGAGAGTGTCCATCTCGCCCTCACCAGACTATGCCTAACTCCTCCTCACTCCTAGGTTCCTTATTTGGTAGTAAAAGGGGAAAACCACCTTCCCAAGGCCATCCACCATCTGGCTCATCACAGCAACCTCCGCACCCTCCAGTCCTCCCACATCAGCAGCACTCTCAGCACCCCTCGGCCATGCACCACGCGGGGGCCGTGGAGGGGCAGGCGCAGGCTCAGGTGCATTCCCACCACTCTCAGTACTGCCACATGCAGCAGAACCCACCACCCTA